TGTCCAAGCCAGGCTCCTTTCCTTTCTCCCGGGTGCCGGCTGGGGTGCTAGGTAGCTGGCTAAAGCTTAGGCCTGCAGAACTGTGCTTCCAGCTCTGGCCTTCTCGGCCTGGATCGGCCGGCCCTGGTGGACTGCGGCAGGAAAGAGGTGGTGCACCTGGGGAGGCCCAAGTGGTTAATCAGGCCTGGGCGCAGTGCCTGGTCTCTGGAATATTCATAAGGCCCCTCCAGCTGTGCCAGGCAATCAGGGTGCTGATTGCTCCCCCATCTGCAGCTTAACATTCCACTCTAGAGAGGAGAGAGCTGGCGGCTGAATGTTAACTAGGGAAAAACAGGCCCTGGCCTTCACAACAGCCTGAACAAGAGCCCCCGGGACGACAAATTCACTCCTTTGAGATCTGCCAGCCAGCCAGAACGAAGCTGTTCACCAGCGCTGTGGGCTGTGGAAAGAGTCGTGGATTCAGAAATAAGACAGCTGGTTTCAGGTCCAGCTCTGCGCTGACCAACTGTGTGCCCGTCTCTGCAGCCTCTGTTTCCGCAACTATAACCTGGGGGTGGTCCCATGTCCCCCACCCCAGGACTGATCACCGCAGAGCATTGTGTGAGGCCAAGTCATGGTTGTTTGGGGTTGCTGGGGACACGGCTCCTACCCCACAGAAGAGTTTTGACTCACAGACATTGAAATCTCAGTCTGACTGGCTTTGAGGGACACAGGACAAAGGGAGAGAAGCTTCCTGGAAGAGTGGGAGCCTTGTTCCAAAGGCTCAGGATTTGGGGGTCCTGGGTTCATCCCAGTCTCATCCGGCCCAAACCTCTCGGAGAAGGGAGAGAGAAGTGAGGACACTGACAGCAGATGGAAAACAATTTGGAAAAGATGGACAATGACAATGTTCTGTGACCTTCTGCTTGCTCTGGACAGCGGTCTGGAGCCACCTCGGGACAAGGCAGAGGCAGGACAAAAGTGCGCCACATGACTTCACAGCTCACAATTAACACTCAAAGCAGTGAATAGGGCTCATCAAGAAAAGGCCGGAATCTTTTCTGTTTGTGTTGAATAACACAGGAAACTGTTTTAGAGAGGTTTCTATCAAACTGAGGGGGGAAACCTAGAGCGAAAATAATACAACCTTCCCAGAAAATCGACCAGCATGGAATAGCTCATCTCTGCTGAGATAATGAGGGTTTTCTGAATCCGCCACTATTGTTATTGTTGTTTACTAGCCCAACCTCCCCGCCCCCGCCAGCCAGGCGCTTGCCTGCAGACCCAGCTCTGACCACACGGGGCAGGAGACTGACAGACTTGGCCCAGGCAGCAGGGGCAGGGAGGAGCTGGCCGTGATCCCCAAGGCCTCTGGGGGCGCGACCCTGCTCCGGTAGGATTCCGGGTCTTGGCTCAAACTAATAAATGAACCACCTAGGAGCTGCCTCACCCTCCCAGCCACCCCCTCACTCCCACCCCCACCCCCACCCCATGCCTTCACTATGGATTCAGTTTGCGTTTTCTCCGGCAAGCTCGCAAGCACGTGTAACTTGGGAGAAAACATTTGCACCGCCCATAAAGGAGCGCTGACCGGAGCCAGCTTGGGCTGTGCAGCCTTGGAAACCTCAGCGGCTTCCCTCTTCACAGCAGCAAATTACCTTCATTAGACTTTTTCCCCCTAAAGTACAAAACATTACATGTTTATCCAAAAATAATGAGAAAATATTGTTCAGGACAATGCAGACAATGAAAGGGCACCCATGACCCCAGTACCTGAGGATGGCCCCTTGGACTATTAGGTACATATTCTCTGGGTCCTTCCCAGGCAGGTAGATGGATACATAGGTATTTTTAAGTGGGATATTTTAAACATTTTGCCATTTTCCCCACTTAACAGTATGTTATAAACAGTTTTCCCTCATTAAGTATTCTCCTGCACCAGTGGTTCTCAAAGTATGGCCTGGGACCTCTGGGGATCCCCAGGGCTGTTTCAGGGAGTCTGCTGGTTTAAAGCTATTTTCATAATCACACGGAGCCACTGTTTGCCTTTTCACTCCAATCTCTCGGGAGTGCACGGCGCGGAGTTTTCCGGAGGCTGCCCGCCGTGTGATGTCACAGCAGGCTGGGTGCGAAGCAGAGCGCGGATCCGCCCGTCTCTTACACCGGGTGCCAGCGGGGTGCCAGCACGTACAACAATGCCATTCTTCTCGTTCGTTTTTTTGTTTTGGAAGGTAGAGTTGTTTTTTCATAAAAATGTTTGTTGGAGAACATGACATAATTTTATTGTTATTTTAAGTAAATTAAGGACCGAAGATGTAAATTAATATACATCTTTTTAAAATTCCTTTGTTTTATTTTAAACATGCTAACCATTGATAGACACAGCCCATATAAGCAAAGGCTCTCCAGGTCCGCAATAATTTCTAAGAGGCAGGTGACTCTGAGGTTGACAGTTGAGGACTGTGCTACACCATCGCTTTTGATGACTGCACGGGGTCCCCTTGTGCCACCGTCCCCTAGTTTGTCCACCCATTTCCTCACCGATGAGCCTGTGGGCTGTGTCCAGCTTTCACTGTTCGAGAAGCGCTGTGCACATCACCACATACTCGCGCAAGCGAACATTTTGTGAGCTGAGAGAAAACAACAGAACCCAGCTGGAGGCCGAGTGCGCCCTTGCTCCTGTCCATTATTAATCAAATTAAACAAAATGTACCAGAGAAGGGGAACAGATAAAGTTGAAAAGCTATGTGTACACGGACCAGACTCTGTGTATGCGCACAGAGACCTTACATGTTTCTGTATGGAGAAATACACTCTGTGCGGAGCACTCACTTTTCTGTTGTCCACGAAGCGCTTACAGAATTTGATCATATTCGAGACCAGCGCTACTGGGAGCACGAAACTCTGGTACCATTACAGAAATCGACAGGAAAGGTTTAGAAGCTTTTATGCAGTTTGAGAAATTTTGCTTTTGTTGGAAATAAAAAGATGATGTTTGTAAAAAGAAATCAAGCACTAAAAAGTGCTGCACACATTGCTGGAGACTATCTCTGTGGGACGGGGTCCTGGAAGCAGAGTGGCCGGCCGGCGACACGCACCTCCATGTGCTAGTGGGCTGCACCAGGCCGCCTCCGCCAACCCCGCACCAGGCAGCACACCCAGGGCGTGTCCGAGCACCTGCCCTCTCACAACTTCAGCAATACCAAGGGTTATTGCTCTTTTAACTCTTTGCCTATTAGTGGGTTAACAGATATATTTTGCCTTCTGAGAATTGCTTACTCATATCCTCAGCCCATTTTCTATTAGGTTCTTTTTCTTATTGATTCCTCTGGAACCCTTATATATTCTGACATGAATCTTTTGTTTGTTTAATTATTGTACTCAATTACGTGGTTTGCCTTTCATTTTGCTTACATGTCTCATTGTAGTATAGATATTTTACCTTTTTGAAAAGAATTAATCTATTAATCATTTCTTTTATAGCTTGGGGATTCTTGTCTTACTGTAGAAAGCCTTTCCTTATTGCATGATTAAAAAATGCTCTCCATTTTCCTCCAATGTACTTGCAGCTTTTCCTTTTGTTTTCTTTTAATGTTTAACCCACCTGGAAATAACTTTTGTTGTGATGTGAGGCAGTGACCATTGACCTTTGCAAGCCAGCAAGTGCAGTATGGCAGGGGGCAGGCAACGGGCCTGAGCCTCGTAGAGACGTTGCTGGGGACCTGCAGGCTGGAGCTGAGCTAGTCCGTGCGGTGGACAGGTATCTGAGCCTATCTGGTTCTAGAGGGGAGGCAAGCTACATTTCAGAATCCTTTGGAATGTGTTTGAGCCACTGAGGGCGTCTGCAAAGCTGAGGAGCAGAGCTGACGATTCTCCCAAGAAAGGAGCAAAACATCTTAAACATGTCGTGTGGTTCATAAGAAGTTTTCATGTCCATTATCCCACTCAATGCAGACATCTTGGGTGGAGGTGGAGGAGGACTTAGAATCCCCATTGTGTCATTACAGAAAATTAAAGTGTACAGAGGTTCAGTGATACGCCCGAGGTCACACAGCCTGACCAGAACCCAGACCTCCTGCTGCCAAGGCCACCGCTCTGCAGACCTATCTGTGCCTCCGGCTCTGTCCTCAGTATCACCTCAGCTGCCCCCTTTGATGGAAGGGAGGATCTGGCCCAAGTCCTTCCCAAATCTGTGCTCCCCCACTGTGGGCAGGAGAGACTGGAAAAAGCCATCCTCTACCACGGTGGATTTCGAGAACCAGGCCTTCCTCCTTCTGTACCTCCTCCTCCCCTGAGCAGTTTGGCAGGAGGTGGGAGTGGAGATGAGTCAGAAGAAGAGCTCAGCCATAAACAAGCAGGACTGACAGCAAGTGCTTTTCCTGAGGCGCGTGACCTCCCACAGGCCCCTGGGGACTGTGCCTGAATGGCAGAGCCTCAAAATGTCATGATCCAGGCTTTGCAGATCTGATTTGCTATATTCACGCAGGCAGCCGCAGAGGAGGAAAACCTTTAGGTAGAAGGTGGGGGATGAGGGAGAAGGTAAATGACTGCCAGTCTCTCAGGAGAGAGCTGGCAATGGTTTTCTTTTCTTCTCTCTCTTTTTTTAATGTGTGCCATTTTTGCACATGCCCAATATACGTATGGCCAGGTCTTCCTCCCTTCCAGCTCCAAACCAAAAGAACATCCAGGACACGGAATAGCAGAGCTGGGCCTGGCCTTGGAGATCAGATGTTCCAATCCCTCAGGTTGATGAGAACCCTGGGCACCCTGAGGAAAGGGACTTGTCCAAGGGCACACCTTTGGGGAAGACCTGGGAACAGATCTCAGGTCTCCTGGACTGCAGCCTGCACTCGTTCTTGTGAGTCCCAGGAAAACCTTGGGAAGGCGCCAACACTGGACACAGGATGAGGAAGAAAAAGGCAGTGGTGGGGGTACAGGAGGCAACCGCCTGAGAGTGACCAAGGAGGGCTTCTCTCAGCCCTGGGGCTGCCGCCAGGGCTAGGGAGGTGGCGGGCACCTACCTGCTCCAGGGGGATGACTAGGAAGGACCCTCCTCCCGCGCTCTCGGTGACGATGGCCAGGAAGCGGGCGTTGACAGCGCAGAAGTGGTTGTCGTGCACATTCTTGGTGATGGGGATCCCATCGAAGCAGTGCTCCCGGTTGGCCACCTTCCCGTACACGTTCCGGAACTTGGAGCTTCGGTACTGCGGACGCCAGGACATCTGTGAGGGGCCAGAGGAGACAGCGGTCAGGCTGGTCACTGCCTTCGGTTGGGCACCAGGGGAGGGAAGCTGTTCCCCAGAGAGGCAGGGGGTGGGCCAGCCCTGGCACTGCCCTCAGGACACAGGGAGAGGGGAAGGCACTTCCAAGAGTTGCGTGCTGACCTGTGCCGAGGACTGTCTTTCAGTAAAGTCCTACAGGGCGAAGACTGGCACGGGGGTATTCACACGTTCCTGCTTTTGGTACGCACGCCCATCCCACCTTCCAGAAAGGACGTAGGGTCCTTTCACTTCCAAGGATCATGCCATGTGATCGAGCAGACCATCCTCCCAGCAACCCAAATGGGCTGCTCCCACAAGCCAGAAACTGCTCAGTTCAGCACGGAGCGGCCGGCAGAGGAGGCTGGGCGTTCACAGACAGAATGTGGCTGGTGGCCAGGGGCAGGAGGAAGATGCTCCCTCCATATGCAAACCACCACCCCTCGCCATCCCCTCCTCTGATTCTCTCGGCCTTCTAACCCACAAGTGCACCCTCAGCAATCGTTTAGTCTGTGTGTCATCATCGCTGTCCCCAGGTACAGAGAGGTGAGGGGGCTCGTCCAAAGTTGCACAGCTAATGACTCGGACCATGAACAAGTGCTCCGGGCTGAAATCTGAGAAGTGTTCCCATGCCAGGCTACCCTTAGGAGAAGGGCTTCCCAGTGTGTGGCCCACCAGTCACCTGTACCGAAATCATTCAGTTGGTGGGGGTGGGGGGTTTCTGATCCTCCCCACCACATCATTTGTTGGAAATGCTGATTCCTAGGACCCAGTCAAGACCTACTGAATTCAATATTTGGAGGATGGAGCCCAGAAACTAGCATTTTAATCAGCTCCAATCCCCCGTAGTGAGACTGAAGTTTGAGAGTCCGTGTCCTAGAGAGTGCAGTGGTGCCTGTCCCCACCCCTCCCTGCCCACTATCCATGACACAGGCTCCGACCGACCGACAAACCGACCGACCAGCTGGTTCCTCCTGCAGGCCACCCGCCATGTGCACCAGAGGCTGGCTGAGGCCTGGATGGGCAGCCCACAATGGAGCCAGCTTCACTGCAGGATGGCGCCCCATGGGGAACACTACGAATGGATGCCATCACAGGTGGGGTCCTGACAGACACACATCCAGTGTGGTGAGCCATAAACGAGCACCGGCCCGGGGCCTGACATACAGCAGGAGCTCAATAAACGCTTTGCAGAATGAATATGCTTCTCGCCTGATTTTGCCATTATCCATCACCTCCCCTTCCCGTCAAATCTCCTGATGTGTCTTGAGTCTCCCACCCCATCTCAGGACAGAACGGGGCAGGCTCATTCTTCACATGAAGTTTCCAAGGGGAGGAAAACGGAAGGAAACACAGCCATAGAATCAGGAAACCAACTCTGGGAACCTGACTGAAAACAAAGCTTTGCATTTGATTTCAATAAAGCCAGGAGCTCACCCACAAGTCTTTACTGGAGGAAGAATTTCAGAGCCAATGAGGAGAATCACAAGGAAGTCTCCTGACCTTCAGTCCCCACCCCTTCTGCACTCCCCCCTCCCATCCCCCTCTGCCCCACAGGGCCAGTCTCCCCACTCTCCACTCCTCTCAACCCCACAGCCTTTGCCCATACTGTAGCCCATCGCTGCCTGCCTTCTCCTCTCTCTGCAGAATTCTGCCCAAGACCATTCAGAAGGAAGTCCTGCTGTGACCAAGCCCACGGACGGCTGCCTGGTTGCCCACTCGTGGCGGTGCGACCTCAGGCAAGCCCCTTCCACTCTCTCAGCATCTGACTCCTCGTCAGGATTACATCAGCGCTTCCCAGGATGGGCCTCAGCTGGACACTTACAGTTCCCTCACATGGTGCAGAGATGAAGTTTATAATTATGGTCATTATCTGTTGATTTTAATTTGCATTAAAAAATATAACTGGCATGCCAAATCCATGATGTCACAGATATTATTGCTAATAAGGCTAAGTTAAAAAATAATGAATCAATTCAAAGAAAAAATTTTATGAAAATTATAGTATGGGTGGTACACAGACCTAGCAAAAATTCAACCTGATATCAAAGTGTTGGAAATTGCTCTGCCTTTTCCAGGTAGAACATGCTAGATTCCGCAGTTTCTGCGGGAGAGAAAGAAGGTGGTGAGCATGCCCACTCCAACCTCCCGTTCCTGGCTGGTGCAGTTCTGGCTTGGACTGCCTTCGCCCCTCTCCTCTGCCTAGCACAGCATTAACCTGCCCGGCTCACCCTGACTCCACAGCCCACAGCAACCCCCTGGAGCCGTTGGACAACCAGCACCTCTCCCTCAGCTCCCAGCCTAGACCTGTCCCAGGCTCTCTTGTCCTGAGGGGCTGGCCTCAGCCCTGCGATGGCTGGCAGTGACCCTGCGGCTTCTCAGCAGGACTGAAGACTGTGCTTTTCTGGGGGCCCAGGTGGGTCATGGATACTATGGGGAAACCTGCTGGGCACCCGGCCCCATGATGGGCTGCTCGAAGGGAACCCAGCCTGGTGAGGAGACAGGCAGGTGCAGTTCGGCCTCCACCAGAAGACAAGGCTCAGGGAGCCACTCCCTACCCAAGTCTGGTTAGCAGGACCATGAGTTCTTTCTCCACCCCCAGCACAGCCCATGGTCAGCACCTGGGATGGGCTGAACTAGGCCTGTGCTTTCCCAGAGCTGACTTCCTTGCACGGTCTCATGGGTGGCAGTGAGAGGCAAGGTAAAAAGAACCAGACTGAGAGCCACACAGACCTGGATGCAAGTGCAGGCTCTGTGCTGTCCAGCTGTGTGACTTGGGCAAGTCACTGACACGCTCTGTGCCGCCTCCAGCTACTGAAAAGGAGGCTAATGATCTCCACGGCCTCCAAGTGTGTGGAAGAGTCAGTGCCAAGTTGCCGTGATGTCTGGCACCCCTCTGGACGCTCACTTAATAGGGCAGAATATGAGGCAGGAGGGGACAGGCTGGGCACTGTGCCGCCCTCCCCACACCCCGTCCAACCCAAACACTCCAGAGCCTTGCAGGCTGAGGGGCTGGGACTGAACTCAGGCTGAGGGACCAACTTGGGCCTGCTGGGAAACGTATCGTCCCAGAGCTCCTGGAACATCCAGACAAGATGACCCTCCACACTACATGCAAAGTTCCCTGGGGGAGCTTGCAGTTGCTGGCATCTCCAGGTCTATTATCCCACCGGGCTTCATTTCTTCCTCCTCTACCTCTCTTCCACCAGTCTCCTTCCTCTTTCCCTTGTTCTTTCCACAGTGTCCCACTGTGGCCAAGGCTCCTAGTGGACACACCTGCATTCTTGAACATATTCCACATTGCCCCTCATAGCCCAGCTAGCATTTCTGAGCTGGATGTTGCATCCTGGGGGGCCAGAGCCCTGAGGGTCTGTACTCAGGTGACATGTTTTTTCAGCCAGTACATCTCCTGGGGTAGCCATGCCACCCCTACCCCGCACTCCCCCACCCCCACACACCACCCCCAGCAGGCTCTAGAATGATGCAGGCTGAGTCAGGGGAAAATGGGGTGTGTCTTTCCAAGGGCTTTGTTCTCTGCAAGCCTGGTGCTGGCCTCTCCCCATTGGCTGGTAGACTGGGGCTAGATCTCCATAGAGATTCTCTGTGCTGGGCTGCCTTTGGAAGGGCTGATGGAGGAGGCTGGGCCTTTGCTCATCAGTGATTCTTCCTCCCTGAGCCTGCAGTTTCACCCCACAGGAACCCAGAGTGGGCGTGCATGGCAGAGTCCTGAGGGACTTCGAAGTCCTGTGTCCCACTCCTCATTCCACTCCCACTAACCACGCAGAAGACACTTCGTTTCTCTGAGTATCAGGTGCTCTGTTTCTAAAATGAGATCCATAATTTCTCACTTCATGTAGTTGTTTGAGGAATCAAGATAAGATGATGTAGGTGCAAGGTCCCATTCAAGATAAACTATCACTGCTGCTCCTGAGGGCCCTTTCTATTTGAGGGGTGACCTGGAAAGCACCAGATACAGACCCTGCTTTCAAATGTATTATATTACAAGCCAGGGAAAGAAATAAAGCCAATGCAAATGCAACAGACATTTGGTGGCAAACAAACTGTAGGGACTGTAAGTGCTATAATGAGAAGTTAGGGAAGGCAGGAGGAATCATGGCAGGCTTCGTGGAAGAGGGGTCCATCTGCCTGCACTGAGAGAGCACCAGGCACTGTGCACACATTGGTTAGTCTCATAACCCACCACCAGGAAGCGTCTGAACTCAGCCAAAGTTCAGACAGCAAGCACAGGAGTGATTCAAACTTGTTCTTTCTGACTGCAGTCCATACTGTTTTCTCCAACTTTTTATTATAAAATATTTCAGCATACAAAAATAGTCAAGAGAATGGTACAATAATCAACCACCATCTGGATGAATCATTGTTTTGCCATACTTCTTTGTGTATGTGTGTGAGTGTGTGTGTGTACACGTCTTTTTTTTCTTTTGTCGAATCATTCAAGAGGAAGTTGCAGACCTCATGCTCCAGCCCCACTGTTGCACAGCATGCATTTCCTACAGAGGACAATTCCCTAATGAGCACATCATGATTAGCACTTCTAAGAAAACTAACAATTTGTTGATACCATCTAACACCCAGCCCATATTCAAGATTCTCCAAAATGCCTTTCACAGTGATTCCTCCCCCGTATCGTGTGCCAGGGTGGGGAGCCCCGTTGCTTCCATGTGATCCACTTGGTCGTGATCTCTCTGTCGCCTCCTTTAAATCTAGAACACTCCCATCATGTTTTTTGAAGAAAAAGTTTTTAAGTGACATAGACTTTTTAAAGACATTAAGTCAGTTATCTTATAAATTGTTCCAGTGATCTCATGTTGTTTTGTGGTATCTTCGAAATCATTCCTGTATTCCCTAGAAAACTTCAGGAGTTGGGAGCAAAACCTTGATCCGATGCGTGTTGAAGACGCTCCTGTTATTACCTGGCTTTGCTGGGGGTGACGCTGGCAGGT